AGAGGTGGCTGGCAGAGAACAAAGAACACAGATGCAGAATAACAACTAATGCATGGGAATTTTACCACATACAGAAAAAATTACAAATGTTTTTAGCAGTTGCTGGAGTGAAAGATTTTCCAATAAGCATGCCATTTAACAGCGAATTATTTTCTCCTGAAAATGGGAATAAATGCAACAGCTTTGAGTTAACTGTTTTAACACTGCGTGCAAAGCTAACTTGCAAATATTCACATTTGCTAACACCTAAATTAGATGTTACAACTGTCAATGCAATTCAGTCTTTTCACTGAATACACAGGAAAAGTCCAAAACTGTAAACTTACGGTTTTATATTTAAAAGTGAATTTGTTCTAGAACTCCTAGCCCAGCTAAGGAACCGTTCAGGTGTAGTTTTAAAAGCTGATGAATTTGTTTACTTTCCTGTACAGACAATCAACAATTCGAGACTAATTTTCCCATTAGAAGGACAAGGCATTCCTTTCTAGACAGGACATAAACCCAAGGCCAAGGTCTACCAAGCAGGTATCCTTATGAGGTATTGTAAGTAATGTTTTCTTTAATGTTACTTCAGCAAAGCAATGCTTTTGCAAAAGTCTGCTCTTCAGACTATTTGGACTTTGAAGCTTGCTACAAAGACCCAGAGAAGCACTCTCTTTTAGCAGAAAACTCCACGTTCTGAGGCACAGAACAGGTCCGGCTGCATTGAGAACACAGCAAGGTACAGATTTACAGAGGCAATGTACAGATTTGGACCCTTTCTGGCCAGCCCCGGCAGCCCGATTCACAGCCCCGGCAAACACAACTCCTGCAGACTTCCACAGGTATTTTTCTCCAGCGAAGCCTAGAAGAGCAGGAGCCGTCAGGCCACGCTCTCACGGGGTAAGAGCCGTGTCTCCAGCGAAGCCTAGAAGAGCAGGAGCCGTCACGCTCTCACGGGGTAAGAGCCGTTTCACACCACAAAGAAAGCGCGAAGGCTTTGTAAGGTTTCACACCAGCCTTCCTGAGCCCGTCCCTAGGGCTGCTCACCCTGCCCTTGCCCAGTACCAGAACTGGGGCACAAAGCAGCGAACCGGCACCGCAGCGCGACGCTGGCTCTGGAGCAGGCCTCTTCCGAACACCTGCTGGACGGCGAGCTTGCTGCAGCTGCCCCGCCATCATCGTGACTTCATTCCAAGACGGGGGACAGGGGGGACAGGCACCTTTAACAGTGACCGCGGTTACCTGCGCCTGGCGCTTCCGTGCTGCCCAAGGAGCTGCGGGGTGAAGCTGCCACCGCCCAGCCACCCC